GTAACTGAGACAGACAACCTCTCGACGAACTCATCTCAAACGTAACAGTAACGACCAGTAACTGAGACAGACAACCTCTCGACTAACTCATTTTAAACCTAACAGTAACGACCAGTACACTGGGTCAGACAACCACTCGACGAACTCATCTCAAACCTAACAGTAACGACCAGTAACTGAGGCAGGGAAGCTCGTCACTAACTCATCTCAAACGTAACAGTAACGACCAGTAACCGAGGCAGGCAAGTCCGTCACGAACTCATCTCAAACGTAACAGTAACGACCAGTAACTGAGGCAGGGAAGCTCGTCACGAACTCACCTCAAACGTAACAGTAACGACCAGTTACTGAGGCAGGGAAGCTCGTCACGAACTCATCTCAAACCTAACAGTAACGACCAGTAACTGAGACAGACAACCTCTCGACGAACTCATCTCAAACCTAACAGTAACGACCAGTAACTGAGACAGACAACCTCTCGACGAACTCATCTCAAACGTAACAGTAACGACCAGTAACTGAGACAGACAACCTCTCCATGTTTTACTGAGACGATAATGCAACAAGTGTGGTGTAGTAATGTAACACCCAACAGCAAAGTTTTACCTGGTAGAATTAGATAGTCATTTGAATGTAACATCTTCCAGCGACTTAGTGTGAATGAACATATGCTAATCCTTTGATCAGGTAGATAGGTCAGGCGTGTAGAGCTTGCGTAGTGCTTACTGCTAAAACCCTTCAGTAGCCTCTTATCTCGGTTATTTCAACCTTACTGTAGTCCATTGTTGAGGTTTCGTTAGTGACTTACACACTCAAAATTCATTCACATTCAAAATGTATTTTCTTCAAAAAGTGGCATATATTTTAGGAAACATATAGGCCACCCTGTATCGCGATGTCATCCTTACCGTGAGTGAGTTTAGGTTAACGCTGCTTTAGTGTGAGACTCCAATGGTTTAACGCGTGCTTCAATATATGATAGACTTTACGTACAACAGCGAGGGTCGGTAGGTTAGCCTAGTGGTTAAAGTGTTCGCTCATGACACCAAAGCACTGGGTTCGATTCTCATCATGGGGACAATGAGTGGAGACCATTTCTGGTGTCCCCTTCCATGATTTTGCTGGAACATATATATCTAAAAGCGGCATGAAAAACATACTCACTCACCCACAAAAGTCAACAACTCAGTAACTAGATAAAGTTCCTGAATTCACACGTTTGCGTTGGTTCAAAGCAAGCTATATCAAATATGTTATTACAAAGAAATGAAGTTCAGTTCTTTCAAAGATAAACCTATCGTGTACATGTATCTAAACAAAACTATGTTGTTTCTTTCAGTTATCGTTCCCTTGTGTTCATGATATTATTGTTTCCTACTGGTTATCAAATGTTCGCCATGGAAGCAGTCAGATGGCGCTGTATTTACACAAGAAACAATAGGTTTTGTTTCAGGAGACCTGGCTCATGGCGGAATTCGGCCGTGATTATATGTACCTATAGCAAACTTAAACACGGCAGTACTCATTGTGTTTGCTCTAGATTCCTCTAAAGTATTGGTTCTATGTTTGTGTTGGGGGACTTAATTCATGATTGGTACAGTTTCATGCAAATGGAGTCGAAGGATCTGTTTGTATTTGTTTGTTGTTTAACGCCGCACTCAGCAATATTCCAGCTTTATAACGGCGGTCTGTGTGAGTGATCGAGTCTGGACCAGACAATCAAGTGATTGATATCATGAGCATCGATCTACGCAATTGGGATCGATGACATGCATCAACCAAGTCAGCGAGCCTGACCACCCGATCCCGTTAGTTGGCTTTACGACAAGCATAGTCGCCTCTTACGGCAAACATGGGTTGCTGAAGTCCGGATCGTCACGGGTCTGGAGTCGAAGGAAGGCATTGGGAGTCATTAAGTGTCTGTGTGATAGAGATACGCTACTGGCTTCTGACATGTTTTAGTAACCTTTTCTCAATAACGATATTGTATCAAGCAAACGATTATGTTGCGCCGAACATATTACAAACAACAACAAAGCAAACTTGCTAAAAAACTACTTAAGTTCCTAATAAGTGTAACAGGCGTTTCCCGATGTGTGTGCTGATATCTGTTGACAATCATAATCGATACAGCAGTTCAAACATTGTATACACGGTTTCAAAAGTTACTTCACGGAAAGAAAGTGCGTCTGACCATCGATTATACTTAGAATAACGTCATACATGGAGATAATATGAGAATAACACATTGACAATAAGTATTACTCTCGCCAGTGTGATCGCCAGATTTCGGCAATAACGAAGTGAATGTGTCGTTTATATGACTTCTTGACAGAACTAAGCAAACGTCCAACATATTACAAAATCAACAATTATGAGTTTCACATTTTAACTTGTGTTGGGATCGAGCTGAATTTGATGTGCTGCATGCCAACGCATTGCCCATGAGGTCACAACAACCCCATAGCACCAGGTATACATGTCAATATTACGTGAACCTGGGATTCAGTTGTATGGGGATGGTTTGGAAAGGATTGTCTTGCTTCTAAGGGTCAGGTGGGGTTGGATGGCTTTTAGCTGCTGGGTACTGGGTTTGACTGCTGGTACGGGGTGCGGGGATGCAGAGATGCGGAGTGGAGTTGGATTGGTTTGGACGTCGAGTGTTTAGTGAGATTGGTGGTGTCAAATACTTGGGGATAGGATGGTTAGATTCTTATAATGCTTGATAAAGACTTGTGCAGGGTTGAATTGGTTTTGATGTGAAGTGCTTGGCGGGGTTGATGGTGTCAGATACTATGAGATGGGTTGTTAGATTGTTGTAAATACTTTATAAAGGGTCAGGGCGGGGTTGGTGTTGATGCGAAGTGCATTGATGGAGTCAGATACTTGGGGAGGGTTGGTCAGATTGTTGTAAATACTTGATAAAGAGTTGGGTGGGGTTGATGAAAAGTGCGCTGCTGGGATTGGTAGGGGCAGATACTTGGGGCGGTTGGTTAGACTGTTGTCAATACTTGATAAAGAGTTGGGTGGGGTTTATGAGAAGTGCGTTGCTGTGATTGGTGTGGGCAGATAGCTGGGGCGGTAGGTAAGATTGTTGTAAATGCTTGATAAAGAGCTCGGTGGGGATTGTTGTAAATGCTTGATAAAGAGCTCGGTGGGGATGAATTGGTTGTGATGCGAAGTGCTTCGTGGGATCGGTGGTGTCAGGTCCGTGTTGAGTGTTGGTGAGGTTGTTGTAAATGCTTGATTAAATGCTTGTTGATGCGAGTTGTGTTGGTGGGATTGGTGAGGTCAGATACTTTGGGTGGGTTGGTTAGATTGTTAAAAATGCTTGATAAAAAGTTGGATTGGGTCGGGATGGTTGTGATGCGAAGTGATTCTTTGGGCTGCAGTTAGGTGGTGTCTTGATACTGTGAGGTTGGTTAATGGATGGTGGGTTTAATAGCATTATGTGGGGGTGATATTAAGCTCTATGCTTCAGCTACAGATGTCACTCGGGCGATGTGTTTGTGTATTGTTCAACGCCGCACTCAGCATTATTCCAGCTATATGAGTCATCAATATAAATACCCCGACCTACCGATCCAGTTAGTCGCCCGCCATGGGTTACTGAAGACCCACCCAAACCCGCGTCTTCATGGTGATGGGGAAGGTGTGAGCTAGGTGTGTTCTTCAGTTGTTCATCTTAAAGCTAACACGGGATATTCTAAGGTTAATGATTGTAATATGGCATACATGTACCTGTATCCGGAATGTGATGAAAATGTTTGACTGATTGTACTTTTTTCCTCTCATGTGGAACAGATACTGTATTCACAATCATGTTCATGGAATACACACATATAACAGATAGCCTTAGTCCATACATTACCACAAGTTGTAACTTAACTGCATCAAGATGACTTAAACATTCACAACACCAATGCCAAATCAAACATCTGTTCAAAAACATGTTTCCATTCCCATGAAATTTCTTTTGGACATCGTTATGTTTTCACCGAGTAACTGTCAATCAAGTATTCTCCAATTCACAGTTAAAACCGTAGTTTACGCATTTGAGAATACAACTCGTATATTGGAGATATCTCCCATACCTTTATAGGCCACAAACTTATCAACAAGCATCAACTGAATACACCGTTCTCATTTGCAGGCTGCAAGGCTATTACGTCCGTGATGCAATCTCCGGCTATCAAGTTACATTGAATTTCAGCTTGAGCATCCTCCAACGTGGATGAGGAATGTGCTATCGTCTCGTAGTTTTATCATTTGCACATTATCAAATACGTTCACCTTTTCACGTTGTGACTGATATTAATACAAGATTTAAATAAAGTCTTCTGCTAATGCAATAACCATACATATAAGCATTTACAAAACCACCGTTCAAACAGAATGATTCATAAAGTATTTATAACCACCGGTGTTATTTTATCGGATGCTTCTTTATTAACAAAGTCGCTCCCCTATCGGACGTTCTTTTCAAGTTCTCCCACACACACAACATTTGTGGTTACCTATTTCCGCATTCCTTCACTATGAGGGCCACGGAAGAAGGAAACCACGGCAGATAATTTCAGGGATTTCCGCAGCCCAGTGTAAGCAAATCTGACCGCGAAGTCTTAGCTCAGCATTTTGCTGTCTCAATACGGAAGTAGTCGGATGCAACATGAAAGTTTGCTCACTGGTCCGTTGAACTAAGTGCGCTCACAAGCCAGAACTCATAGACATAAACGCTTCAGGTTGTGCCAGAAATAGATTAAAGAGATGTTCTAATTTGAAGCCAGCTTTTTCTCGCTTGAGCATTTTACACAAAAGAATGTACTGTTTTGTGCCGTTCAGAGGACATAGTATGTGTTGAGGCTTACCAAACTTGGAGATGCTTTAGGGAAGTCGAGTCTCAGAGTTAGAAGGAATGGTGAATCACAACGCAGCCAATCAAATCATTTGAACGCGTCACGTGGTATGCAAATTACGGCACTCGTTTGACTGAGGTGTAATTTGATGCGGGAAATCGGTGGGAGATCTAAAGAAGCGACAGCATAGGATTCTGAGCTCTGTTAAAAGGTAGTCAGTCTTTTGCCTCAGCTGGATTTAAACAAACGATGGCGGGACTCCGAGCACCTAAGGCTGGCTCTGCCAGAGATACACAAATGAGAGTAAGTTCAATTTAACTTTTATAAAGTATAAAGTAACTTAAAAGCAAGCCTCACTTTCCATATGTAATATTTCACGTTTTCGATTCCGGAAATCTGCAAGATAAGCATAACTATCGGATTTCTCGGATTCGCAGCTGTTTATACAAGACATGGCAGAATGAATCAATTTTGGTCGGGAATTTAATTATTTTCAAATACAACTGTTTCTTTGTAACATGCTTTAATTTGCACAGAGGCTCATGATAGAATGAATCTGCCGTGTTAGAAAGTTGGATAACATTAAGTAGTTGCATTGGGAACTTGATTTTTCAAATTGGAGATAAAGTGTCTAGGGTTTGTTTGAGTACGTTAGAGTAAGCATACCTTGCGGCGGTTTATCTGTGATAATTAATCGCTAGAGATAAGGTTTTGATTCCGTTGAAAGTGTGGTTTTGTGGAAATGTTTTTTGTCGCTCTTTTTATCGATCGTAAAAGTGTCCGTATTACACACGGGTCTATACTGTGCTCAACAACACCTTTTGACGGATGTACCAATTTAAAACATAGCTGCGTTGCAAAATATATTACTTGTCAAAACCATTTTATTCTGGATACCGTGACCAGTGTCAAGATTTGGTAATCGCATGAACATTGCCGATTACAACGAGTTAGAGGAAGATAGCTCACGAGAGAAAACTGCTGATCATACTGCTGATCAGGTTATTTTCCATTTGATAATATGTTTACGTGGACATTTTCGCAATGTTGGAATGCCTTTGAAGTTGAATGACGTCACGAGTCACGTGTCGCCACTGGTTACGAGTATATTTGGGCATGAACACATAGCCGTTGTGACACTGATTTACCGAGTGACGTCAATAAATGGTTTTTTTTGCTGATCGACAAACCAAATGTATATATGGCAATGGTAAGCGCTCCACAACTGCGGTGTCGTAGTGGCCGTACTTAAACCCAATAAGTAATACAAAATATAATATCATATTTCCATTATTTCATTTCTAGCTTTGTAAGGTGAACCTCCACTACCTTCATAACTAAAATTACACATAACAAAATATGACGTACGTTGACGAGAGAGGGGGGGGGGGGGGGGAGAGTGAGAGTGAGAGAGCGTGAGAGAGAGAAAGAGAGAGCGAGAGGGAGAGAGAAAGAGAGGGGGGAAAGCGGGAGAAAGAGGGCGAGGGAGAGAGAGAGAGAGCGAGGGAGAGAGAGAGAGGGAGCGAGAAAGAGAGAGTGAGGGAAGAGAAAGAGAGAGGAGAGAGAACGGGAGAGAGAGGGAGAGAGAAGAGGAAACAATTGTACATGGTGTGACAGTAAAACAGACTGAGAGGTAGAGGAGAGACTAAGGGAGACAGGCATACATACGTACTGACAGACAAATGCAGAAACAGTTAGATCTCCGATAGTGTAAAGTATCATTGGACAATATGAATTAAGGAAATGCATACACGCTTGGCAGCAGATTCGCGTTCACTTTGGTATCCCCAGCTGTATTTGAAATCAAGCGACCAACCGCAAATCACCTGACTCAATAACTGCCACGTTTACACGGCAAGGGCCGCTGCATCTGCACAGACCATGGACGCAGTGGATGCTTGGCCATCCAAAAATGCCGAACATGACTTTCTGTGTTGGGGCGATGTGCGAAACTAATCACTTGGAACTCTGCATTCAAATGCATTTAATGGACTCGAAACGTTGGGGTTTAGTAATTATTTGGTTTGAAAGAAGATACTGGTTTTACACGAATGTTAAGGAGAAGGGTTAGAATTCCATATCCATGAAATGATACAGCAGGCGACGAACAGGGAATTTGGGTAATACAGCTCATCCTTATTATATTTGGTTTAGACCTGTGTTTGTATACCAAAATAATAATGCACAACATAAGAACTACTGCAATCATACGGTTGGAGCACATTACCTGGTATTCTTCCTCGCTCGAGTAGATGACTGTAGAATTAAAACTAGTATAAAACGTCAAAGTCTGAAATTAACCAGTCTCGATTATCAGACGAAACACAAACCTTTGGTCGTAAAAGGCAAAAGCTTATTACAATCAGTGATAGCACTGGATTTCTTTCGTTTTAGCTTAATTATGAACGCCGTAAAAGATGTATCGCTCAAAGCGAATGTCCTATCAATATGTCTTTGTAACAAAAGACATCTTGCTTACTTTTAATTCTTAGTTTACTCAACTATATACACATAACTAAAACATAGAAACAACAACAAAAATCAAATATAAATCCAATATAACCACGAATACGTATAATCGCCTCTGTTCTTTGTCTACTTTGGTGTGTGCATTTACCATCAACGTTAACAGTAATGTCTCATTCATACAGTGTGTGTCAGACAGTATCCTCATTCACGACAGCGCGGAGACAAATACAGCCAGTCTTTGCCTCGTCTTACGTCTTATCAGCACGACGCAGCCATGTTGTTCTAGCCAATTACGCTGCACGTACGTTAAGACACGTCTCACGTATGCCACCCCATCGGTTATGTTATGCACGACATGGATGAAAGGCATTTCTTGTATGCTTGCCACCGAGTGTTGTCACATAAAGAAATGTATATTAAGCTGTTTCAGAAGAGGTTGTTAATGGTGTTTATTGTGAGGTCGATCATATCACGGCTCCTCTGTTGGCGTGATGAACAGTTCTTTCTGCTGTTGCTGATACAGTGCCTGTATGTTTTGCTGTAATTATATGAGTAGTGAAGATGTTATGAAATGTTTTCGATACACTGTTGTCGTTTTGATTGTTCTTATCGAATTGGTTTATTTGCATATGCGGGTGCAAATTATATGCCGATGCAGTATTAATAGAACATTTTTAAAGATAACTCTCCGGTAGATATGAATCTGATTCATTCCCACCTAATGCAGCAGCTGAAAAAAATTGATATACTGTTACTCCATGAATGAAAAACATATAACTAACAGTGCACAAGATTGCTGATAAAACTCTGCTTTCAACAATATAAATGTTCCGATTTGCGCATTATATATTTACATAGGAAATTAATATCCAAATCACGCTACTACATTATGGTGATGTATATGTATATACATAAATAATATCGTTTTATAATATGTTATGTGATGTAAATATGTGACGTATATTTTCCCTTCAGTCCCGTGAAAAAATTAAGACGTGTCCGCGTGTAAAAGATGTCCCTTTATGCACACCCGTGTTCTGACCAGGATATGAGATGAGGTGTGAAACACGTTTAGTATATTTGGCGAGTCCCGTTAAAACTTTCTCCATATAGAGATGTTCAAGGCAGTAACATGATACACGTAGGATTGCCAGGGTGCGCTGGGTGATCGTGATAACCCGCACGAGAGAGAGAGATATATGATACGTATATATCTATGCGCCTCCAACAAACCTCAAACGCCCACCAACGGCGCTCTGTGGTTGTAAAAATTAATAAAAATGGTAGTCATGGTGACTGCAAGTCTCAAAGCCGTTTACAAGATTCCCTCAACCTCCTTTATGGCAATCAAGATGCGCACGTACGTCTGCAGATGTTTTGTAATCAAAATACGTTAGGTCTTTAATTAAAACCGTTCATAGTTAATAAAGAAACATATTCAAAGTAAACTAAATGACATCATTGCTCATTTTGTAACCATCGGTAATTGCATAAAACATGACAAACACATAGGAGCTTCTGAAAATGGTTTTAATAAGAAACACCGCCGATCCGTACAGGTCCACACAACACGTAAACATATGTGTTAAACTGCAGCCATTGTAGTTTGCTACGTCTGCATCCTCAAAAGGAGCTTTGCTGAGGCAAGGTGAATTGAAATGGCATATCAGCATCTCACGTAACCTTGGAAGAGGCCCAAGTAAGAAAAAACTGGTTAAGTTTCGCAACCTCCTCGAGTATTTTAAGTGTAGCGACTGCATTCCGTTAACTGGGAGCACCAGGTAACTCTCTGGAACCTGATCCGGTTTGTGGGAGAACAAAACCTAGAACATGTTTAAAATTCTTACGATCTCGTTTGGCAAAGGGCCATGTTGTTAAAGTTCCATTTCAAGGTGAACTGGTTTTGATCTTAGTCGAAACTGTTGACAGGGAGATAGGATCTCGTGAGGATGAACAGATGATTGTTTCAACCGGCAGCTGCCAACACAAGTTTTGACTTAAGCACATTTTTTCGGAAAAGAGTTGCTTTATACCCGTGAAAAACGTTTATATTCTTCTAATTGACGACGTCTCAAATAACTTAGCCTTGTCACGTACATACATTAGCATTCTAGTAAATTCCTGTAACTGTTGGCCATTGTTGCCATTTTAAACATTTTGGCCGGTAGCCGTTATACTTCCTTACTAAAATTACCCAATTTCAAATAATTCCACTATCCCAATTTCCAAAGGCATTTGCAATATCTCTTTTGTGTATTTACATGAACTTGCGACATTATAGTGTGACGTCATCATTACAGTTCTATTTGGTGTATTGACAGTAACCATATTGGATTAGGTATCAAGATTTTCAAATGTATTCCCCTGAACATGTATAAGACGCTGTAGCGTAGTTAGGTGTACACGCACAGCTATAATCCTGAGAATAAAGTCGCCATGATATAATTTGCCTTCCAGGAAATATATTTCTCCACAAAATGCATGTCAGAGACCATATATCTATGTGCATGTTTACAATATTTTTATACAATGTTTTTGATTAATGAAATTTGATATTCCGATGTACTTTGAAGGATGGCTCGCAGCAGAGCCAGCAGCTGCTGTTGGGCCGACAGGCGGCTGGGCTTATCATAGGCAGCAACTCCCGCTGTCTTTGCACATTAACAAACACGCTCCTAAAATAGACTGTAAATTCTATGTTGGAATCACTCCGCAGCCTAGACGAGGTCGCCAGCAGTGATTTATATTCCAGACTTGTTGTTAGTGCGCAGTTTCTGCGATAAAAGAATCAAGAGTTTGTTGCAAAGGAAAATACTGTCAGAAACATAACACTA